TGCATCTTTGACTACTTCAGTCCCTTCAGTACATCTGATCACCCGGGGATCCCCTGCCAGACATAATTCCCAAAGACACTCCTCCTGACAGCCCCAGGAAGGAAGACAGCTGGCCTTGCTTCCAGGGTCCTTCAAGTCTAGGTCTTGGGTACCCACAGGTGCTCCATCCTCCAGTGCTGAGGCTTCAGTAGCCCCAGCATCTTGGCTTCGATTCTTTCTAAATACAATACAGGCAAGATTCACCCTTCCTTGTGCATACCGAGTACCCCAGAGTCCCAGAGTGGGATTGGTGTCCCAGGCAGCAATGAGACAGCAAATGTTTCTCAGTCGCTGCCTGGGCATATGTAGGTATGTGCCCTCCAAAGGTGTGTGTCTTTCAGTTACAAGAGTTAACATCAGTCTTTGGCTTTGGAGCACCCAGAGGAGAGAGTGGCTGGCATTGCTAGGCCCACAGCATTGCTTCTGTGTGTACACATGAGAAGAAGCAGATTTTGCTGCCAGCTCACAGGAGCAATACTGTTGGTCAGTGGAGGAAGGGGATTTGAGATGTACATGCACTAAAGTCTCTGAACAAGCAACACAGACAGCAACATCATAGCCTCAAATGAGAGGAAATTCTTAAAGAAGGGACAACAGGATTGATTTAATAATAACAATAATAATAAAAGACAAGGAGGAAAGAAAATCTTTGCTCAAAACCAATGAGATCTGTTTAATCGACTAAAAAGGAGAGGACGGGAGAGAACAATCTGTTTCGTCTTTGTTATTAATCCTTTAGAAGCACATCTTTCTGTGATGTAGATGGTTGAAGACAGACGAGGGGAGGACCACCGCATCGTGCCATCCTTGGGTACCAAATTGGGAGATGAGTGGACCTGACAGACACAACTGTCCCTGCGGAGCTGTCCATCTAAGCGCTGCTAGGTGATTACCAGGCCTCAGAACTCTCGTGCAGCCACTGTGCTGGGCACGTCCTGGATCCAGGAGCCTCCACGTCAGCCACGTCACTCTTAAGAGTGTCTGCGTGTACCAGGTCACGGAACAGTAACACCCTTTCTCTGCCTGACCAAGCCAGGCTCTAACTGGAAACCAATTTAGAGTGTATCAACCAGCAGGGGGCAGCACTGTATTAAAAGTTACTGTTCAGAATGAACCACAAGGTCTTTGCCCAAATTTCCTGTATTACTGAGGAGTTGTATTATTCAGTGCTACAGAAGTAGGTGGTTGTACAGGGTCTTTTAGAATCACAGTTGGGACATCCTAGCACAACTGCAAGCCTGAACTAGTTAAAACCTCGCCATGCTAATATTGTAAGCCATGTTTTTGTCTGCCTCCTCCGGGATGGGTCCCCAGAAGTGTGTAATCTGTCCCTGTGTGTATGACTGTCCAGCATGGCTTTGAGTCCTTCCCTTTCATTTGACCCTTCCCTATTGCAACCAAATAAAATGGACACTATATAAAGCCTCCTCACAGACCACTGCAGATAGGAATTTGGCCTAAGGAAAAATATTTTTTGGAAACACAGCTAAGGGGATTTCGACATTGTAATAGGAAAACAACGTGCGGCTTATACTGTGCTCATCTTAACACAGACACCAAGGATAGAAAACTCTTCTGGGTTAACGGTGACGGGTGGAGAACGACTCATCAGTACGAGCCCATGCTACTCTGGGAGAGCACCTCAGTTCAGCTCCCAACACCCATGTCTGGCGACTCACAGCCATCTGCAACTCCAGCTCCAGGGGATCTGACACCTCCGGTCTTCACAAACACCTATGTAATGTGCACATACTCACACACAGACACGTAACTAAAAATAATAAAAGTAAATATTTAAAAAGTGATGACTAAGCTTTCAAAAGTGATTTACTCAGTCGGCGATAAAATGACCTCCTTCCTCCCGGCTCTCCCTTCTGTGAAGTACCAGGGTATTTATGCTTCTGTTGAATTTATTGACCATAAGCTAATTTTAAATAAGCTGATTTGTGCTTCAGCTGAGAATATTCCCTGACTTTGAACTTCTGATCCTCTGCTTCCACTTCCAGGTGCTGGAGTTGCAGGCATGCGCCACCACACTGTGGTGCTGAGGATCGAACCCAGGACTTTGGGCTAGGTAAGCACTCTATCAATTGAACTACATTCCCAGCCCTAGCTTGACATTTTCTTTTAGAGATTTACTTCTCTCTCTCTCTCTCTCTCTCTCTCTCTCTCTCTCTCTCTGTGTGTGTGTGTGTGTGTGTGTGTGTGTAAATGCATGCCATTTGTGTGTGTGTGTGTGAGTGTATGCCTTGTGTGCGTGAGTGCCCCTGGAGACTAGAAGAGGGTGTCAGATCCCCCAGGAGCTGGTGTCACGGGCAGCTGTGAGCCACCTCATGTGTGTGCTGGGAATTAAACTCGGGTCCTCCGGAAGAGCAGCAAGCACTGCTAACTGCTGAGCCATCTCTCCAGCCCTGCCTGACAGTTTTGATCCAACCCTAGAAAGACAAGTTGGTTGGACACTTGCAACCACAGCTGTGCTCCAGAGATGCCGCATGACCAGTTCAGTTTGGTGGCTGAAGTGCTGAAAATTCTTCCTGTGGAAGTGGCGGTCATACAGATCGGCTGCCCCAGGCCAGACATGAAAAGTATTTGCTCTGAAGTTTGTGGTGTATCGGACTCAAGTTTGACTGGGCATGGTGACCAGTCAACATTCAGGAGGTGAACTCAGAAGGATCAGAAGTTGAAGGCCAGCCTGGGCTACATATCAAGTATGAGGAGGATCTGGGTTTTCTGAAACCCTAATCACCATGAATCAAATTGTGGGGATTTTTATGGGTGGGATTTTTCACCTCAGTTCTTGGTTTAAAAATCAGTACCATTAGGAAGATGTTTAAGTTTTAATCGCTTTTGCCACTGTGGCCCATGGGAGGGAGTTAGAAGCCATCATTTCAGCGACTCTGTTCCAAGCCATAGAGACTGGCCTGAAGCTCTCGGTAGAGCAGAGACTCTACTGAGCTGAGGACATGGGTGGAGAGTCAGGAGCTAGCTCATGCCCTTCCTCCTGGGCCTTCTGCTGCAGCTCTCGTCCATCCGGAGTTCCTCCTCTCCCTTCTTTTCTCTAGGAGTGGGAAAGGCAGATTCAGAGGATAGGTATGGGGGAGCAGGCTGATGAAAGGGAACAGAATGGGGGGCTCCCCCTGCACCAATGCCTCAGGGATGCTCACAAATTGGGCCAAAGTGACAAGTCTGCTTGGTGGAGATGGGAGGGAAGGGGCTTTCTGGAAACATGGCTAGACATATGTCAGCCCGGGAACTACCCCTTTCCTCCCCTGCGAGTTCTGGGGTACACTGGGATGCTAGGGCTGGCATCTCCTAATGCTCCAGCCTCCCGCTACCTCTGAGCTTCACCTGCTGAGTTCCGTTTCCTGTAAAGTGATTACCAAAGCCCTCTCATTTCCCTATGGTTGCTTCTGCTGTAAGAAGTGAGAGCAAAACCAGATGTTGTGGTCCAGCACTTGAAAACCAGAGGCAGGCAAATTAGAAGCGTGGGGTCATCCTGTGCTACGCAGTGAGTTTGAGAGTAGCCCGGGCTAGGAGCCTCTGTGAGAATAACCAGAGCACAGAATGGCCCGTTAATGAGAAAGCTAAGCAACCAATCACATCCGTGAAATAGCAGAAGTTCCCTAGCAAGTTTTGCTGGGAACCTAGGTCAGGACCATGATGCACAAAACATCTGATTTTTCTGAGAAACTGTTTGTAAAAACATCTGCATTTAGGGGCTGGAGAGATGGGCTCCGCAGTTAAAAGCTGCTCTTGCAGAAGTTGTGTTCCCAGCGCTCACATGGAGGCTGAATTCCAGGTCTAGGGTCTCTAACACGCTCTTCTGACCTCTGCAAGTACCATGCATGCTTGTGCACAGGCATACATGGAGCAAAACACTCATACAAATAAAACAAATCTGAAAAGCATTTAAATGTCTGCATTTGATCATTCGCTGTCACTTTAACTATAATAAGAGGACATAAATGTGTTAAATCTGAGCAGAGAAGATGTAGGGTGTAATTAAATTCTTAATGAACCAGAAATGATGGGCAAGTCTCACCGTAGACTTGGCTGCTTGGAGGTCACACTCGGTAAGAAACTGACTTTATTTACCAATAACCTAAGGAAAAACCTATTTGTTATGGGGGAAAAATGGTGGTTTAGAGAATCACCTTTTGAGCTCATCTTAATATCTCTGTCCTATGTCATCAATGTTATTCTTCCTTTTTGTTTATTTTAATTGAACTAGTGTATATGCGTATGGGTCTGTGAGACTGTGTGCACATGAACATGTAGAAGCTCCTCAGCACACTTCCACCTTGTGTTTTGAGCAGGATCCCTCACCAGCTTGTAGTTCACCACATACGCTAGACTGGCTGGCAGGTGAGCAACCCCAGGAGCAGCTTAGCTCCACCGTCCCAGCACTGGGATTAATAGTGTGCACCACCATGCCCAGCTCCTGTGCTGGGCTCTCATAAAAATAACAACCAGCCTTGATATGAGGGTTTGTGCCTAGTCGTATTGTATCTTGTTATGTCATGTGCGGTTGATATTCCTGGAAGGTCTGCTTTTTTCTGAATTGGAAGTGGAGGAGGAGTGGATCGAGGGGAGAGGAGACATGTGTGGAGGGGAACTGAGAGCAGTGGAGGGAGAGGAAACTGCAATTGGGATGTAGTGTGTGAGAGAAGAATAAAAAATCATGAATAACAGGACTGCAGGTACAGCTCAGTGGTAGAATCCTGGCTGAGCATGCTTAAGGCCCTCAGTTCCATCCCTGGCACCGAAAAAGAAGCATGGATAACAAGCAGGCATTTCTTGTATGTGTATGTGTATGTGTATGTGTATGTGTATGTGTATGTGTATGTGTATGTGTATGTGTATGTGTGTGTGTATGTGTGTGTGTATGTGTGTGTATGTGTGTGAGTGTATATGTTTGTGTGTATGTATATGTGTGTATATGTGTGTTTGTATGGGTATGTGTGTTTACGTGTGTGTATGTATGTGTGTGTTTGTGGGTGTGTATGTGTGTGTATGTGTGTATGTCCGAGGTTGACCTCAGGTATCTTCCTCAATCACTCTTTACCTTCCTTTATGAGACAATGTCTCATCCTGAACACAAAGCTTGCCAACTGGACTCTGTTGGCTAGCCAGTGAGTTCCTGGCTCTGACTCTCTGGTACTGGGGTCACAGGCACACATTGCTGTGTCTGACTTTCATGCAGGTGCTAGATATTGAACTCAGATTCTCATGCTGATAAGCTAAGTACTTTACTCATTGACTGATGTCCTCAGCCTCCCCAAATGGCATTTTAAAAGATTTGTGTGTGTGTGTTGTTGTTGTTGCACGTGGATACAGATGTACATGTACATGTGTGTGCATATAGTTGATGTTGAAATTTTTCTTCAATCAATCTCTACACTGTTCATTGAAAAAGAGTCTCTCAATTGATTCCAGAGCTCACCCATGTGACTAGCCTTGGCTAGTCAGCTTGCTCTGGGAGTCCTGTCTCCCTTCTGAGAGCTGGAATCACAGGTGGGCTGCCACACCATCCCACATTTATGTGGGTTCTGGGGACCGGAATTCTAGTCCTCCTCCTACGCAGTGAGCACTTTAACCACTGAGCCGTCGCCCAGCCCCCAGAGGGGATGTTGAGTACTACTAGTCTTTGCCAATACCATTCTCATGACACTTACTGACCACTCTGCTCACCTACAAACCGTACACTTTGTACTTCTTTTAAAAATACTAAATCCAATGCCAGTATTGATAGCCCATGGATTACAAAAGTGTTTGAATAAAGAAGATGACTTGTATCCAGGCCATATCATAGAGTATCCTCTCCTAAGCCCTTTATAACAGAAACAGTAACAGTGAACAGGCCAGGGTGACTTCTCCATCCCATCTTCTGCTAGGCTGGGAATGCAAAGGTTTTGCATAAGATGATGTGGAGACGTCCAGAGACATCAACAGTTTGGGATCCCGATGCAATCTTTAGCAGTAACTAAGGAGAGGGTTGTTTTCTTTCCGATTCTGTCCCAACCACAGGCTTTGGCCCTATGCAACCTACAAAATATTCTTCCCCAATTCCAGATTCGAATATTAAATTAAAACAGATGTGCAAAAAAACACAAATACCTGCCACCAAAACCGAACCCATCCTTCCAGAAGCTGTGAGCTTCAGGGACAACCGCTGCCCATTCCACATCTCATCTGAAAATCTTAAGAGCAGGTCCACACTCCCTGTGACCCATGCTGGTTCCGCTGCAGAAAGGCCAGCGCCAGAGGGGATCCTAGAAGTGCATGGAACTGTCCGAGGGTCCCCGGTGGGGCCACTCCTCATCCACCCACCTGCGCAGGATCTTCTCCACGTCAGCCCTGTGGTAAAGTCGGCAGAGCTCCATCAGCTGGACCACAGTCCTCTGGCTGTTTCGGAACAAGAACTCCAGCGTGGGGCTCTGGGGCCTCTGTTCCAGGAAGCACAGTTCATCATAGGGCATGCCCCACTTGCTGGCAAAATTCCTCCAGTTCTTCACGGTCGGGTGGCATGGATCCAGCTTTATCCTGATCACATCTAGCAAGTCCTGATCATTGAGCAAGTCGCTGATGGTGGGGACCCGGGGTGAACAGGAGAAGCAAGAGCAGCCTTCCTTACACGGCTGGTTTCTGCTGACACCTGCAGGATGACAGAGAAGCCACAGGTTGGCCAGGGGCCCGACATATGCAAGCGACACTCCCTCTATTTTCCTACTGTCTTGGCAACGTCATCGAAGCGTCACACAGCCTTCCCCGGATCGTCTAGCACAGTCGTTTCTCACTGCTCACACAATGCTGTTCTGTGCGCATGCACGTGTGCACAGATGTGCAGCATGGGTGTGTGGGGGCTAGAGAACAACCTTGCGTGTCACACCCCACCCACACCTTTAGTTCAGCATCTCTCACTGGCCTGGAATGGATAGAGTAGGCTAGGCGGGCTGGTTAGCAAGCCTCGGGGATCTTCCTGAATCTGGACCCACTTTTCAGGTTACTGCTATGCGTTGTCTCTGAGGTACCTGACTTTTAGATAGGCAACAGCAAGAACTTTGCCCACTGAACCCATTTTTGTTTGTTTTGTTTTTGAAGACAGCATCTATCTCTGGGCTGGAGGTTATTAAGTAGGATAGACCGGCCAGCAAATCCCGGGGATTTCTTCCTCTTGGGCACTGGAGTCATAGACCTGAGCACCACGACCACAGAGATGCTGGCAATACAGCTCAGGTCCTCATTCTGCAAGGCAAGCACTTTGCTGACTGGGACATCTCGGTAGCCCCTATGGTATTACCCTTTACAGGAAAAGAGAGGCTAGAAGCAGGAGCAAGAGTTGATAAAGCCAACCTCCCTTCCCATCCACGCTTCCCCCATTCCAGCACGTATTTGGAGGGCTCCAGGACCAGATTGAGGGCTCCAGGACCAATTCGTGCTTGTGCGCACGTCCTTCTGCTCACGACAACTTTTAAAATTACATTTATTGTTGTCGGTTGCTGTTGTGTGTGTGCACAGGTTGCCTGTGCGCCACATCCCATGAAGGCCAGAGAACAAATTGCGGGACTCGGGGATCTCTTCCATCACGTGGGACCTGGGGGTTGAACTCAGGTTGCTAGGCTTGACAGCAAGTACCTTTCCCTACTGAGTCATTCCACAGGCCTCCCTGACAGCTTTTAACACCGAACCTAGCACGTGAATACGGCACTGTGACTGTGCACAGCCCCTCAGAAGTTCTTGAAAAGGAAGAAAACGGGTCCGTCTGCTCCCTGCGCGCATCTGAAAACCAAAAGCATATCTGTCATGGCTAGTGGCAGAAAGATTTCTTGGGGAATTTATAGCCTCCTTATCATTCCTTTGCTTTATCTGTCTTCTTTACTCACAGAGGCTCTGTCTGAAGTGTGGCCAGCAGCCCCCGGGGTGTGCGGGGAGCTGGAGGCGGGCCGAGGAGGAGCACACCAGGCTCTAGCTTGGGCCTCACCCAAAAACCGGTTCCCACCCCAGCTTCAGTCGTCTCAGCCTCCGCGTCATCTATCACCAGGAGGTAAAAGCACGAGTGGGAGGGGAAGTCGGTGGGGAAGAGGTATCGGGAAGTCGCTCACTGAAACCCTCGGTGGTGACACTCTGTGGACACGGCCACTGAGCGGTGTCAACTGCATAATGACGTCTCCAAAATCTGAAATTGGGTTTAAAGGTCACAGGCTTGGAAAGCTGTGGTGGGGGTGACCTTTACTATAGGATGACACATTGTCACACAGGCTGTCACTGAGCAGTGGCTGTAGGAGATTAAGGAATTTGAACAAAGGCGGGGCGAGGAGATGCGCTGTAAGCCTGAGTACTAGGCCAGCCCGGGCTACACAGCATGACTCTGTCTCAAACATAAACGAAACAGCGGCCTAGGGAGAAGGCTCAGCGGTCAAAGCATTCGCCAAACAGGCATGAGGGCTTAAATTCAGAACCCCCACCCTGACCCCAGACCCTCTGTAAATGCTGTGTGAGTGTGATATCCTTAAAGGGAGAGAAGGATTCACAGAGCAAGCGGTCTGGAAAGATTAGAGCCCACCTCGGTGAATAAGGTGGAAAAGCAATACTGGAACCCATGTGAACTGATACATGAGAACATTTTAAACTGCCTGTTAAAATCATAAGCTACGTCAGGCACGGTGGCACACACCTTTAATCCCAGCACTTGGGTGGCAGAGGCAGGTGGATCTCTGTGAGTTCCAGGCCAACCTGGTTAACATGGCGAGTTCTAAGACAGCCAGGACGACATAGAAAGACCCTGTCTAGGAAACTGAAAGGAAAAGCATAAACTTTAGGTAGTAGGAATAATTTCTAAGAAATATATTTAGCCCCCTCCCACACTTCAAATACTTCTCATATCTCATACAGTATTCTATCTGGAAGGACAAACTTTGAGATATCCTGAGGAAGAAAGAGAAACACTGGAGAACAAAGAAATCACTAGTTTTGTAGGAGGACCCGATACCTCTCAAGTGATAGATAGGCCCCAGGTATACAGTAGGCACTGAATAAATGACTTTCTGTAATGACAAGGAACTAGCCCTTACTTCAGTGACAAATTCTCTCTAGAAATTAAAAAAGCAGGGGCTGGCAGGATGGCTCAGCACTTACGAGTGTTTCCAGCCTCCTGTAACTCTGGCTCAGGGGAGCTCATGCCCTTTTCTGTCTCTTTGGACCCTTGCGCTCACATGCACATAGCTCCACCTGCCGCCACACACATACACATAATTAAAAATTAAAAATAAATGATATTTAAGAATAAATTAAATACGTATTTTCCCTAAGGGTGAATAACTGAGGATTCTGCTTCTCCAGGGAAGGAGGTGCAAGCGTATGTGTCGCTTCCCCTGAAGGCATTTCAGAAGTGGAAGGGAGAATTCAGTGAGGGAAGAGGAAACCAGGAAGTACATGTTGCTGGAAAATGGTACCGACTTGGTCTCTAAATAAAAAGATTGTGGGTCAATTCTATATCTGGAAAGAGAGGAGTTGATTGAAAAATATTCATCGCTCTGTAAAAACTCACTTCGATGCTTTAACCACTCTTGTCCTAGGTCACTTCTAGACAAGGGGATGGAGATCAGCTCAGAGTGCAGAGCCCTGGGGGTATACATAGGGCTTGTGCAGCAGACTTGAGGCCTGGATTCAGTTCCTGGCACTGCATAAAACTGGTGCATGCTGGGCAGTGGGGGCACATGCCTTTAATCCCAGCACTCGGGAGGCAGAGGCAGGTGGATCTCTGTGAGTTTGAGGCCAGCCTGGTCTACAAGAGCTGGTTCCAGGATAGGCTTCAAAACTACAGTGAAACCCTGTCTCGAAAAGCCAAATAAATAAGTAAGTAAGTAAGTAAATAAACAAATAAATAAATACTGGTGCATGCATGTCGACCCCCAGTACTCAGGAGGTGGAGATAGGAGGATCAGAAATTCGGAGGCATTCTCAGCCACATAGCTAGCTCAAGACCAACTTGGACCACAGGAACATAGAAAGAAAAAAAAGGTGAGAGAGCATTGCTAGGGAGAAGGCGAGAGAGTGTTGCTAGGGAGAAGGCCCCTGTGGCCAGGCAGGTGGCCTGTTACACAGGTGTGTGCTAAGCCCTTGTCCCACTCTGTGAACACAGGTAATGATGTTGGTCTCAAAAGTGGCTTCAAGGATTAAAGACATCATCCATTCAAGCCTCTTCCTAACACACAACATGGCCCAGTGGAGCTTCACTTGGGATGGAACCCACTGCTCCCCTCCAACCCCTGTGGGAAATCCTCCTCACATCTGGGCCAGCCACCAAGGTCCTATTTTAATTAGTGTGGAGCAGCAGCAGGGCATGGGAGTTTCCCAGCTCCTCCAGAGACTGCAGATGCACAGCTGGGATGGAAGACACAGTCTCGAGGAGTAACTACAGGTCAGTGGCTGTCAGCACAAGAAGTGTGCAGGGTCCACAGACAAAGGAGACCAGATCAAAGAAAAACCTCTCTGAACATTTTCAGGAGTCCTCAGGATATAGGTCAGAGGGAGGGCATTTACCTAACATGTGAGGGTCCTGGGTTCCATCCCCCGAACTGCACTGGGGTGGCGGGGGCCTTAGATGAAGAAACACCTTGCTATGTAGTTGGTTGTGCCAAGGTAGGATGGAAAGTCACGCTATTCTGCACACGGGTTGTGAACAGTTCTGATAGGTTTTCCCCTCCCACAATCCCTTGCCCTCTTCTGCGTAACTTGGACCTTTTAGAAGGGATTCTATAGAGAATGGAAGTGACCGAGAATTCACCATCAAAACACATTCAATAGGTGAGTCCCTCAGGCACTCAAAGGGATTGGGACACGTTCATGAAAGATGGTGTTCCCAGTGTATGTACTGACACCAGGCTCCACGGAGGTGCTTGGATCCCAGGAATAAAGAATGTCCCCTACTGTACCCAGAAGATATAACAGGGTTGAAGAGTCAGTGGGCAAGATCTATGCTTTAGTTACCAAAGCACATGCTATTGTTTAAAAACAGTACAAGTTGGGCTGGAGAGATAGCTCATTCAGTAAAGTAGAGTTGGGGCTGGAGAGAGAGCTCATTCACTAAAGCACTTGCTATGCAAGTCCAAGCATCTGAGTTTGGTTCTCATAATCTACATAAAAAAGCCAGGGGTAGTAACACACATCTGTAGTCCCCGTGATGGGAAGGCGGAGGGAGGAATCCCTAGCCAGATAGCTCAGTCTTATCAGAGACCTCCAGGGCCTGGTGAGAGTTTGTCTCAAAAACTAAGGTATACACACACACACACACACACACACACACACACACATATATGCATGCACACACACAAGCATGCACACATGCACATAATTATAATCAACATGGATGAATGCTAACTGCTGATTGTCAGAAAGTTATAAAGCCACACGCACAACACAAGGCAATGATACACATATTCACTGAATAACTTTCATGAATCTGCCCAGCTATTCCCGATGCCCAGGAACCTTTATCAATCCTTTACCTGAAAGGGGATCTCCAGTGCTGTCTGGAAAGTCATTTTCTTCTTCCTAAAACAAAAATGAACCTTCATTAAAATCATGGCCACAGGAAAATGACAATGTCAACCTTGCTTGTTAGTTAAATTTCTACCAAGTAAGTATGAGGGTCTGACTGATGTTCAGAGATGGTCCTTCAGTGATGGTGAGCTACAAGAATCATCCCAGAATGTGGAACAAGCCCAGGATGCAACTGCCCCAGGAGACACTGGACAAAGGTGAAGCAAGCCAGGGTCCTATCTCAAATGTCTGAAGGCATACAACCATGGCAGCATGTAACCATGGCTCCTATTATATTTTATCCTTATTATAAGCTGTTTTCTTTGTTTTGTGTAAGCAGAAGTTTTTGTTCTGCCTAGTCCCACAGTCGCTCAATCCCAAAAAACCACACAGAGGCCTACATTAATTATAAACTGGTTGGCCTATTAGCTCAGGATTATTAATAACTAGCTCTTAAAACTTAAATTAACCCATAATTCTTATCTACGTTTAGTCACGTGGCTTGGTACCTTTTATCAGTGCAGAATTTTCATCTTGCTTCCTCTGCATCTAGCTGGTGACTGTGTCTCTGCCTTTGCTCTTCCCAGAATTCTCCTAGCCTGGTCGCCTTGCCTATTGTACTTCATGCTTGGCTACTGGCCAACCAGCATTTTATTAAACCAATACAAGTGACAAATCTTTACAGGGTGCAAGAGCATTATCTCACAGTAGTTTTGTTTTCATTCTGTCTTGGATTAGACCTGCCAGCCTAGGATAAAATGTGTGTGTGTGTGTGTGTGTGTGTGTGTGTGTGTGTGTGTGTGTGT